GATAAAGGATAGTGTTAACTGGTGACCTAATCAAATAATAATGAGGATAGCACATGTTATTTCCTTATACTTTACATTACAGATTGATCTGAGCTGAACACCCACCTGACATTAAAATGCTTTCAACTGTCTTTTTACCTAAACATCAGACTCATGAAAAATGCGCATCGAATGCCTCAATGACGGTCAGAATGTTTCACTGTTAGGTGTTGTGGGAAGTGCTTAACTTGAAAAGTTCGATCCAATATCCAAACGTTCGCATTGTTATTTTCAGTCAGTTTTCTCTGTTAAAATAATCACAAATAAAATTAATGTATGGCGAATAACTGTATATTTAGGTTTGTAAAGATCAGTATGACCATCTGGCTGAAATACACTTGAAATTCGTCGTGTGCTCATCTAATATATATTGATGACATTGAAATTATTGATATTCAAAACATAGTTTTTAAATCAACCAAATGTATTCAGTTCTGCCATAGCAGTAAGATAACTCATTTACCAAGCGTCATTTGAATCAGCTAATTCGCCTGAATAGAAATAAGGATTTGACAAATGATCTGATGTGGTAATACCTTATTGTCATGAATATTTTGATAACATGAAGTTAATCCTGTAGGATGATACTAAAGTGTGCACTACTTAAGGTGAACTAGACAGTATAATGCAAGTTGAATAAGGGACAAACTATGTTGTTTAAAGTCCTAAAAAATTGGAGATAAAAACATCAGACCTGATTGATCACAGACGTTCAATGCGTTTTACGTGGTGCCTCGTATGTCCAGTTCAGTTTCAACAATGACATGTATAAACAATCCGATGGTGTTGCGATGGGGTTTTCATTTTGTCCAGCTCGAGCCAATTATGAAGTGTTAAATTGTACAGGTTTATAAGTGAAATCAGATTGTCAAATAATTAATAATTAGAATATATATAGTCAACCTGGTATGAGATTTAGTCGGAGAATAATAAAACTCCTAATAGGAAATTGTGTGATATGAAGAGTAATATAACTTCATGGACGAGTGAACATCATTGAATCGCTCAAATGTTTCTAGCAAGCCTTTATAACCAGTATCGGCAGTAATAGGGAAACTAGTCAAACTGTTGCACCAATTGACCATTTTGTATTTTAGATGGAAAATTGTCAGTGAGTTCTTCGATAGCCTTCTTGAGATTTTTTCCTTTAAAATACTTCAGTAGATAAATCAACTATAATTACACTGATAGCAACATCACAACCCTGTTCTTACAGACACGTTGTTCTTGTTCAAACTACGTAACCTAATACTACAGTCTGCTAACCGATGTTATTAAAAAATCCTAAAAGTTTTGGATTAATAACTTTGAAGCTATTTGATCGCATCCGTCCAATGCGTTTTATGTGATAAATTTGGTGTCCAGGCCGTTTTAACTAAGAAATATATAGAAAAGAAGATGAGTTTGTAATAAGGTCTCAATTGAGTCTAGTTTAATCCGATTATGAAGTGTCAACTTGAATCAGATTATAAGTGAAATCAAATTATGAAATAAATAATGATCAGAATAAATATAGTAAACATGGCGTAAGGGAGAGACAGAGGGATAATAGTGTAATTATTTAGTCACTTGCTAACGCCTGTAACCATCTATTTGCTTCGAGACAAGAAGCAATGATACTGTGACCTATAAAACCTACATTTTCGAAATCCATTCAAGTGGAATAATACGAGTTCATCATTACAGTATTCATCATTGGTAAACACAATCAATGATCTAATAGATCAAAGAGTCAATGTGCTTAATGTTGAAACGACACTTTGTATCATCCGTCAAAAAGAATTAAATATTTTCAGATTATTCGAGGATTCATGTGGTGTGTTTTCAGCTTCATACGTATTGCACCATCTCAAGCGAGCTGTTTGGATTGAGAAACAACACTAATGTCTATAACGGATACGATGGTTTTCTTTACATGTTTTGAATGATTACTCTGATTAGACAACGTCAAATTAACATAATTTCCATCTGGTTTCTACAAGCACGATTAAGATTTTGATGAATACATCTAGTCAAATGGACGGTGACGTGATACAGGGATAAAATGTCAGGATTAAGATGTACCAGATGATCAGATTTACCATAAACACAGTTTACTTCACTGTTCTTCACTACGCTGGTTTTCATTACTGGTTTGTCAGAAGTTTAACTGGTGGTATCTGTATTTCGATTTATGTATTTCAACTTCATCCACACTGAAATCCAATGAGAATCGTCTGGATGAAATAGGTATTTGCATTGCTGACAATGAAGGAAGTGTGCATGTTTAAATCTGTTCAACACATACATTAGTGGTTACAAATGGATTAGTCTATAATTAAAGAAAACTGTAAACACATATGAAAGAATTTCATTTACTACAGAGTGATGCCGTTAGCAAAGTGCATGTTTCATCAACTATTATAAACATTGCGAATTGTGTAATTGAACTCGTCTCATAATACGAAGGCTAATCGAATTCCAACGTTCCTATATCAAGAATCTGAGTACGTAATAGTCAGTGGAGTGGTTCCAATACTATTGTTGTATATGCTAACTGGTAATTTCATTATATATGAGCAGGTGAAAGACTACAATGGATCTTGTTGAGTCCAAATGAGTATGTAATCATTATTTATATTTCGGTGGAGTGTTAAGCACCATCTGAACTTGATGTAATTTAACGTCGGTTATATATTTACTCTGAAGAAGTGACTTACATTAGGTCACAAACCGTCAGAAATACCATCCACCTGCTCATTGGGATGTAACAAATAATATACGTGTTATCAAATCTCTACAAAGTGATCAATTTATTTGGAACTATCGAGTCCACCATTGGTATTTGTACCTCATACCTATTAAGGTTACATATTTCTTTGATGTCACTTCCCCTTTACACCATTCGATATCATGAGTTATTCAGAAATCTTTATCATAATTGAAAATAGAGCTGGTGACTCTAATATAATATAGCAAGGAGTAATTCTCCCACCTATCCAATACATACTTTGGTGATCATGAATTACCCATCAGTCAGTCAATATCCCATAATACCTTGTGCATACCGTATTGCGTTGCATTCGGATTAGAATCTTGGACGCCTTCATGCGAACGTTACTCATCAATCTCTACAAACGAAACCGTATAGTTCATCCTCATTTGTAAATCTTAACGTTGATTGGCACAATACTGCGAATTGAATAGAGGCATCCACGCAAACCGTTGGGGAGCTCAGTGGTTGAAACACATAATCTCTTTGTGAAATAAAAGTATAAAAGCGAACGAGTATGTGATCTTTTGAGGACAAAAGATATTCAACACCAAGAGTAAGTTAATCAAACGTTCATCAGCTTAGTTAATCTAACACTGAAACATGTGTCCAAATTTGTGTATAATTCGTCAGTTACAGAGACAGTTGAACATAACAAATCGTTGTGGTCGACAAGTCGTACAAGCTTTATGAAATAAAAGTCATCATTCTTTAGTAGAGTTCACTATAAGGAGTGGATTATGATAGTGTGACATTAAGGAACGATCGGAGTTGTAGGTGTGAACTTCAGAGTCTAAATTCGTAATCTAAGTAGAACGGACTTGAAACGGAGAGAAGCTCAGCAATAGTGAACTGTAGTTTTAGCAAGAAGCACTGTCAAATTAATGAGATTTTAAGAGCAGAGCAGTGGTAATCAACATTTAACTCAGTTTCCCTAGTTCTGTAGTAGATTGTGAAGTGATTGACAGCAAACAGATACAGACGTATCATTGAAACACTGAAAAAGATAAGTGTTTATCATAATTTACAGTAGGGAGCTCAGTGGCCATTATATAGCCCACACGACGGGCACGAACTGAAGAAGCGCGATTGCGATCGAACGCTGTTATGTTATTGATACAACGGCACTGATTAGCAGGTATCATTTCCAAGCTTTGATTTGATAATTTCGAATAAATTGAGGATTGAGTAGATTGTTACTAATGAATAATATCTTGGTTATATTCCAAAGAGTGGAAAAATTTAATAATCCAGTTCATCAGAGAATAAACAACCGAATTAAAATTGATCAAAGTTTAAATAGCACTTACTTACTTACTTACTTACTTACGCCTGTTACTCCCAATGGAGCATAGGCCGCTGACCAGCATTCTCCAACCCACTCTGTCCTGGGCCTTCTTTTCTAGTTCCATCCAATTCTTGTTCATTTTTCTCATGTCTATCTCCATTTCTCGGCGTAATGTGTTCTTTGGTCTTCCTCTTTTCCTTTGACCTTCAGGATTCCATGTGAGGGCTTGTCTTGTGACGCAGTTGGGTGCTTTCCTCAATGTGTGTCCTATCCACTTCCAGCGCTTCTTCCTGATTTCTTCCTCCACTGGGATCTGGTTTGTTCTCTCCCACAGTACGTTATTGCTAATAGTGTCCGGCCAATGGATCTGAAGTATTTTGCGTAGACAATTGTTAATAAACACTTGTATTTTCTGGATGATGGCTTTTGTAGTTCTCCAGGTTTCTGCCCCATACAGTAGAACTGTTTTGACATTTGTATTGAAAATTCTGACCTTGGTGTTGGTTGACAGTTGCTTTGACTTCCAGATGTTCCTCAGTTGTAAATATGCTGCTCTTGCTTTGCCGATCCGCGCCTTCACATCTGCATCAGATCCACCACCACTTGGGTTCATTTTAATTCGATTATTTGTTCTTTGAAGAAGTGGCTTATACTAATCATCAGATTATCTAATTTTTCTACTCATTGGGATATTACAAATATAGTATATATTTGTGACACTGAAAAGTGTTTATCATAACTTACAAAATGACACTCATCGCTCATCAACTATACCGCGCATAGAATTTGGCCATTGATTCGTCACCCAACAGTATCAGTGTTTAACTTTAATCCGTCCACGATATTGCAGGACTATCTCACATTATACTGATAACACACTTTTCTGTGAACTACAATTATAAGTTCAGATAAATAGCTCAAATGAATTCTAATCTGTTTCAGCTCAGAATGGCCATTGGAAATATCTCCGTTATCGTGGCAATATTTAAAACTCTATTACTCAACACTTGCGAATCTGTGAGGGAAAATTCATTAAAAACCACCAACTCACGGCGTGATGATTTAGCCAATCGAACTCTCTTAGACTTCACTGATTCTAACACCAATGCGTTTGAAAATTGGATTGAGGTATCAGATGGAGGGAGATCTAAGGCTACACTAGTAAAACTTAAAGAACAGGTAAATTTTATTTATATATATAATTAAGCCAACATCACGTTTAGAATTATCAATCAGCAATTTTCTTTTTTCTTCTCGCCACACGAGAAAATGGACCAAGCTTTGCTGGAGTTGACAGGATACTAGCTGATGATGTTTTGCCAGCATATGACGGTGTCATCATTGACGTATATAGACAGGGTCCACATTCTCATTTCAGATTGTTCTATGGTGAATGTTCGGATACATGCAATTGTATATCTAACGAATTAGTCTTCGAGGTAATGTGATATTCAATTGTGTAGAACAAATCAATATCTTCTCTTTGAAATTTCTATAGACGTCTGGAAAGCGAGAACAAGTGAAAATACCATTCCGTAATTCTTCAGCATATCTTCATGGAACACCACTATCTAATTCAAAGTGCTCAGGATTAACTCAGAAGTCACATATCGGTATAAAAGTATATGTAGGAAGCAATACGCCGAAAAACCTATTCGGTCCAGGTTCCATTGAAATATTCACTATTTCAGCATATAAGGAAAGGTCAAATGCCAGCTTAAAGAAATCAAGCTTATAGGAATTTCATACTTTTTGATGTGTAATGCTTATTGATACTATGATTGTGTTTTGTTTGTATTAAGTAAATTTATCAATAAATGTCACACATTTACCCGAGAGTTTTGAATGTTTTCATGAGTTTCTTGAAATTGACGGAAACATCAATGAAGGCGAGCGGTGATGAATGTCAGGTAGTTGGATGAATACGTATTCAAGTGAATGAGAATAATGCTCTGTTACCTTGTCTCTTATCTTCAGGTGTTTAACACACATCGAAAAACGGTTTACTTTCAAGCTTCAAAACGATTGATAAAATTCAAAATCTCGAACTCCAGTGTAAGGATTTCTTTTTCGTGAACTTATTATCAAGCTGTGCAGTCGTATATGGATACGAAAATCATTTGTTGTGATTCACGTTCCGTGAGAACATACTATCTGTGAATAATCATGATCACGTAGTCGATTGAATGCAATACTAGATAATGTAATATTAATATAAACAACAAACTTGAAAAGGTGTTAAGGAACAACAATACGAATGTAGAAAGATTACTATAATATTGATATCAGTTTAGGTATGATAAATTTAAAAACATAAGTATGGTAAATAAAAAACACAGGGAGGCCATCAATGAACTCGATAAAGACGAGGATTTGATTATCACGATAATCGAATATTGTACTGCAAATTTCCAAATCGACAAACATGACTAAATTGACAATATGAGAAACATCTTGAATGATTATCAAAATCTTTGGAAAGTGAATCACCCGTCCAGGTAGCTTTCCTAAGTTTCTTCCTAATGACCCGTCGTTTCGTCTTGTAAATAAAACGTCTAGAAAAGCTATTCTACCTCTATTTTGTTTCTCACATGTGAACTTCATGGACGTGAGAAATTAATTGAATCCCTCAAATGCCTCTATCGACATAGTATGCTCATTACAAAGCATTAAATTATCGTCCATAACTCGGCAACAAAGTAAAAATGTTTCAGTCTTCTGTTTCAGTGGACCATTCTGTAATTAGGAGAAAAAAAATCCAGCTGCAATAGGAAAATAGCGTGAAGACATCGCGACATTATCGATTAGTCTATACATTACACTACTGAATTCGAAATGTCTGTCAATAGTTTATTTTAGTAATAATTCACCGATGATATCCACAGAGTTTAAAGTCTCTATTTCTTGTAATGTATGCTTTTCACAATAGTAGTATACAGTCTCTCTGAATGGGACATTTGTGAACAATCACTTGAGTGTTTATGATTTTGCGAACAAACTGTCATGCCTCCTTAATACTGGGCTTCATTACGTGGTTTTGGAGTGGTTTTGAAATCTTTACTCATCACTTTGCTACAGAATGGGTACTTATTTACCAAATTGACTTGTGTATGTTTGGTGGACCCACCCGTTGATTTGTGGTCTATATCAGTCATCCGGTTGATTCAGTTTCGTTTTCATTTTTGTCAACCTTTTGTTCAGTCATGTTATGAACGTAATTCATCTTGTCAATGTGGTCACTTTTGTCAAGTTGAATAGTTTTTCATTTTTTATCAAGTCTCCTATTAATTGAGGTCCCATCATTAATGCCTTCCCAGATATCTTCATGGTGTTTCTAATTTAAAAGACTTTTGTGGTTATAACTACTTTTTTTAAACCGGTAGCAACATTTCGTTCATCTGACCACATTTACTTTGTCATTCGTTATTAACGTTTTAGGTTTTTGGTTATTATTCTTATGACGTCGAAGTTAAGGAGAACGATAATAGTTTAATATACTTCATGTATGTAAATGCTTTCAGAGTAGCTAATGATGAACGTTAAATCTGTTTCACACCTAATTAACTATCGAAAACTGCTATACTGATGTTAACATCTCTAACTGGAGATTAGATTTCTCGGAAGTGGCAAACAATTTTTGAATCGTTGACTCAATGAATGAAAACTATTTGACGTGTGCTCGCAGTCGTCCAGTTTACAGCTCTTCGATTGTAATTAAAAGTCTTTGAATATACCTTATCATGATGTATCGGAAAATTCCATTTCAAATTAGTTGTTCTGTTTTGTTGTGTTCCGCTTATGTCGACAAAGTAGTATATAACGACAATCAGGTATAAAATGTCAGGAAGAAGGTCGAGATGATCGAGGGGGGAGATAATAAGAGCAGAAAGCGTTTGGTATGAAAATGCAGGAACAATGAGTTCTTTGACAGTTACTTTGCATTTTGAAAGCAAAGTACTGGAGTATGATACTTCTACTTTATCAAGTAACTCTGTAATATAACCGTTTGTCCTCACTTGTGTTCTCCTCCACAACGTTTCGAACGCATTTCTTTCTGCTTAAATAATCTTTTCGAGTACACTTTCATCACTATTTGACCTGTGTGAATAAGCAAGCACTAGGCACATTATGAGCTAATGTCGCATCAAGCAGTTATTAGAACAGCAATATTGTACAAACGTCATGTAATCCTGAGGATGAAAACTGTCTCACATCTCACATGACTATACTCCATGTTTCACAGATTTCCACTACAACTACGGGTTTTACGTACTGCTATTTAACGTTGATCTATCTAACATCCGTTCGTGATCTGAATTTTGAAAACATCATTAGTTAAAATGATATATACACACATTCATTTATATATACTGCTGATTGTTCTCTTTATGCAATCTGAAAAATGCAACTCCTCGGTTTTTTCTAACGAAACCACTAACTTTATCATGTGTCATTCCTAATGTGCTTTCAGTGATTAACGGTGAGTTGATCTGGAAACCAATTTGATGGTTGCACGGGAAACGACAATGAATAAGAATAGAGAATGAGTGATGGGTAATGGGTAGAAGGGAAAGTGACAAGAAAGCATGTTTAACTCAATGGTACTCATCTTGACAATTAAGTGAAATAAAATTGTTATTAGTGATAAAAAATAATCATAAATGATTCGTTCAAATGAATTTCGTCTTCATTATTTACGTTTCTACATTCAACAGTGAATTTAACACAAGAAACATTGACATGAATACACTTCATTAACAGCTATTGACTATTTGTGATAGAGATCAATACAAAACCGAACAGTACGCTTGGAAGTAACCGTTTGAAATGCTTGATAAATCGTTGTAGACCATATTAGACACAGCTCATAGCTGAGAAACAAGTATGCAGCTTTTCATGTTAGGTTCTATATTTGCTGTACGAATAACTTCTTGTTTTGCACATTTTAATGTAAAATACTTCAAACATCCGAATATTTTTTCGTAAAATCAAAAGTATAGTCATCATTTTGACACATTTTTGTCTTCTTTGTATATGTGACATAGTGGACAACTTAATACGTCTCTCATTATCAACTGATGGCATTCACTGTAAATCTTGGATAAACAGTCTAGATCTTAAATATATAAACTATCATAAGTAATCAAATTCCAAACTTTCATACAATGAAAAATCCGTTTTGATGCCCTGTCAACAATATCAAACGTGAGTCTATAAGTATAGGCTGATAAGAAACTGCGTCGTTTTTACAATTCATTGTATTGAGTGGTTGTAAATCAAAGCTTTGATTATTGTTGTATTAATACAATGGAATCGGTAGTGGCATTAATAAACCAGAAGGACATTGACTGCTCACATTTGTTTATGACACGATGATTATGTAGCGGATGCACACTACCACTTCAATTAATATCATGAACACCGTTAGATGTCGAGCGATTCAGTGGCCTACATGTTATGCTTTTGCGCTCGCGTGACTCCTATTATCTTGAAATAAAGTTCGTGGTGCTGAGTCATAAGTACACACAGCCGAGGTGTCATATACTAGGGTGAGACAGCCGTTCATTGCTTCCAGGTATAACTTTACAGTGATAACAACAGTTAAATATAAGAAGTCTACATGGTTAGCAAATTGTATTAGTTTTGTGAAACAAACGTCATCAATATTTAGAGGCGTTCACCACTGGTAGTGGATGATGGTGGTGCAATATTGAAAATTGAACAAAGTTACTAATATGAACTGTCAGAAGCCAACCTGTTCATGTTGTTGATTTCGGTTTTAATAGATCACACAAAACGGACGTTGTAAACTGTCATGGATATAGAAGAAACCCCAGGTAGAAAAAACCAGAGTTTTAAATACCTCAGTTTTTTAAATTCTCTATGAAGTCGAATACTCTTGACTTGACTGAATTCTTCGTAGTTAACGGAAGAATTGTTGATGACCCCGATGTTATTTTCAAACAATTCAGCCAACACTTGAACTGAAAACTCTACCAGTACATGACATCCAGATGTCTATAGAAATTTGATTTCATAGCCTACAAAATCAAGCATGCGATAACTGCCCTGAAAATGTCTTGTGACGATACACCTGACAGAATTCGTTCATCATTTGTGAAATATGGTGGTAGAGAATTCCCAATGATTTGTTTAAAACTTTTCAGCATATCTATAGAATATGGAACCTATTGTCGTAACGTGAAAAAGAAAGGGCTGCTGATTGGAGGTTAGTCAGAGAGAATTATCGATTATACCAAAGATGCGTAAACACATAGGAACAGCCTAGAGTTGCGATTGGTCCTGCTCCCTTGTCTAGCCCTGCCAGTTGAGCCATGAACGCCAGTCTCAGCCTCTGAGATAAGTATTGTTATATCTCAAGCACACTCTGTTTATATACACCAATCAAGCAGATCACATCGTACCAAAAAACTGAAAA